GACTATTTGCATCCATTTGCATTTTATTAGTTAGCAAGATAAAAAAAAAGAAAGAAAGTTTACTCGGAGTCCGTGGCATTTTTTTTTCTTCAAGTTATTAAGAAATTGTCTGTTCTATTTTTTTTTTTCAAAATAATTTGTCACAAAAAAAATTTTTGAATTTCTTCAAAAAAATAGTCGTGAGTCGTAGTCGCATTTTGTATCGCAGTCGGATACAGTGTAAAAAAAGATATTGCATTATTTTAAAAAAGAAAGAAAAGACGTAAAAAGCTAAAAGAAAAGAAAAAAAAAAGGTATCTTTCGCTCTCAAGACGAAACGAATGCTAAGGGAGGAGGTGGTACTACTTGTCGCCGTCTTCGTCGCGGTCGCCGTATTCGTACTCGCCTTAATGGTCGTGGTGGTCGTCTTGCTCGTCGCTGGTTGTAAAAGCATTCGAACGCAGAAATAGAAACGTTTCGTGGCGATCGCGAGCAAGGTGAGTGTACTGGCGTTGAGCTCGTTGCAATGACGTCCAGTCTGCCAATTAACAAGCAGCAGCAGAGATTCGTGTTAGAGTAGTTTGTAGAAATTTGCAAATTTTTTTTTTCAAAAATTAAAAATAATTTTCGACAGGAATCCTCGTTAGAAAAATTAACATTTTGATTAGCGATAGATGCAAATTAAAAAATTTTTTTCTTTTCTTTTTTTTGTTAGTATATATCGAAAAATTATACAAGTCGTTCAGGAACTCGTATTTTTTTCCACCGTACTGATTTATGCCTTTTTTTCATAATGCCACTGTGGCCGTGCCAAAAGTACGAAGAACCAAAGGAAAACGCCCGGAATGCAGGACCAGTGATTCATTGGCTAAGCGGCTGAAGGCCGCGACTGTTCGCCATTGCTTCTCCTGGTTTGCAACGTGTATTCTTGCGCCGTGCTGCATCGCTGGTCGCGCGCACGATTCTGTACGGTTGATGGATAATAACGTGAAGGATTGTGACTTTTTGGTTTTTACTTTTTTCATTGTCACCCTTGGGCAAGTTTCATCCAGGAAGCATCAAAAATAAATTTGATTTGGTTTTTTTTTTCTGCAGAGACTTTCCTCCCGTCCTGAGTCACTTTCCTGTAACTACTTTTTTTACAGGAGACGTCGAATACGAGAATTTTGAAAATTTTGGAAAATTTATTAACACGCTCGACCGGTTTCAAATAATCGAATAATATATTTCGCGAAATGACTTTGTCCGTAATTTTATTTTTCATATGAATAACGCTGCCTCATCTTCCTCATTGTTCATTTATTTGGACAAATATTTTTTTTCAAAATTTTCCACAAACTTCCATCCTCTACGAATCTTCCTTGACGTTTAGGTCGTTTAATTATGTCCGCAATTCGACCGTGATCAACCGGTCTGTCCACCTTGACCCTGTATAACATATAAAGGATCATCGACGCAAAAAGCGCAGCGAGTACTGCGCATGCGCTGTGGATAAGAAAAATTTGAATATCATTCAAAGCCAAATCACAATTGAAATAGACCTTCACTTGTGTATATATAAAAACGAAATACAAGTAGCAAATGTTCAAAAAAAAAAAAAAAAAAGATTAAAAAAAAAGAAACCAAAAATTTGAAAATCAAGAAAATAAAATTTTACATCGATTTCTCATTAAATTTTTTTCACACTTAATCACCTAATCGACAGTCGTGCATTTCCAAACTATTTTTCGACAACCAATTTTCAGATCAAAAGTCAGCGTGCGTCATCCCGAACGTACAAAACAATTGTAAGTCGCAGATAGCTGAAGTCTGAAAGACGTGATTCTCGGTTAAGTGGTTAAATTAGAAAAAAAAAATTGGAAGCAAAAGTTTTTCAATCATAAGAGTAAATAGAGTATGACATGTGAGTTTGAATGTAAAATGTAAGCACGCATTCCTCTCCACGATAACGGCACGCATTACGAAGTCAGCCAGTATAGCGAAAAGAAGTAAAAGAGCAAGGCAAGGTCGATCGCGGTCGCGAAATAAACGAAAACGATCTCAGCAACCTGTTACCCAGGACGTAGCGCCTTAAAGAAATCAAACGATGTAGACATGAGGCAAGCAGGCAATCCAGTCATGGAGAGTAGTGGTAGTAGTATCGGTAGTAGTGGCAGTACCGATCATACCGATCGCTCTTGATTCAAACGTCACGATCGGTACTGATATTATTTATCATGTTATGCGAACCGAGCGAGAAAATATCTGTATCTGTAAATTATGAAATTCCGAGTAAAATCAAAGATTACCGATCAATCATTAACGGTATACAACCGATCACACGTATCCTATAGCTAAAATATATTTTCATCCACCATCTGCACATCCGGCGCCACGTCCACTCGCCGCCTCTATCAAACTTATTAAATCGCAAAAGCACGCTCGCTTATTAATGGAACCCTGATTCGTTCCGGATAACCCTTTTTTTTACTTTTCCAGACTCGAATCACCCGCCGCTATAGCCAACCGACGCCCGACGTCGACTCCCGATTCTCCGCACCCGCCATTCCCGTTTCACTTGCCTCTGCCGGTTCAGCTTTTATATTAACATTTTACACGACTGAACTTACCTCCATTTTCGTTCCAGCAGATTATAAACCAACGAGATGATACAAATGGAGCACTTTCGTGTTCTCGCTTGATACCTGCACGCCATCTTTGCCTAATGGCGCCAATTACGGTTTTCTTGCGAACTACACCATCCAGCGGATGTCCGTGCTATCGTTACATCACGTAATGGCATAGGTCTATAATTTTTACTCTGGATATAGAAAAGTCATTCCTCTATATTGCGTCTGATTGATTTACCTAAATAATATATATATATATCCATATAAACTTCTAAAAATATTTAAAAGTCAACTGTCAAACTTGTAAAATTTCAAAGTCACCATGGACAAATTAAAAGGATTTACCACATTAATTAAAATACACCGAGGTAAATGATTGCCGGGTGCATAAGGGTGCGGTCGTGTCTTCGTGTGCATAATTGCCGGGACTATAGGCGTGCCGGTTCGTCCGTCTAGGCGTACGTACGAAATTGTAATAGATTTGCCAGGGTGCGTGTATAACAACCAACAGCCAGAAGCAAAACTGCAGCCATGCAACGAGTGTTGAATAGATGCATTTCTGGATGCAGGATGCAGGATCCTGCTGGATGATACTTGCTTAAGAAGAAGCAATCCACGACCTGCATCAGCAACCTGGTAACTCCCTGCAGTCAAAGTCCGGACGTAGCGTCATTATCCGCAGGTAAATTACCCAGGGGCAGTTGGCAGGGCAATGGTTAGGCGTTTGTTTCTTATCCTTATAACGTAGTAGGTTGGCACAACTGACTAGATGCAGCATTCGTTACCTTATACGCTACCGGTGCTACAGTACGAGTGAGATGCATCGTACCTAACCTCACTTATTATTAGTAAGCACCTCCACTCATTTACCAACCACCGCAGAAACATCCAATCAGGAGCAATCAGCGGATGCCGTCGCGGATTTTGATTTGTGAAAAAATAAAAAATAAAAATAAAAAGCGAGACAGAGGCGAGAGGAAAAGAAAACTGAGGTAGAATAAAAGAATGAGCGGAAATCACGTATAAGGAACGTTTTATCGAATTTCCGAACAGTGCATTTCTTCTTTTTCCTTATCTTTGAACAAGAAAAGTTATTGTTAGGTTATCTTTGAGATACTAATCGATAGTACTGCTTATCGAAATTTTTATTTTATTTTATCGTTCTATATGAAATAGCTATATATATGCTTCTCTCTGGATAGGATCTAAGAATTTTATCGGTACTAAATAATCTTTGCTTGAATTTATTTTAATTAGTAAGACGGCTCAATCTAACCTAATTATCGGGTGTGTCGATTATAAATCTTCTTTTCGATTTAAAATAATGGTACGGGTTCTAGAGATGGGTTCCCAATTGTCGATCGATATGATTGATTATACCGGTTGACTCGCGTGGTGAAATTTCTACGTTTTATCAATTTTTATTTATCGTACCCATGTGCTTTTTTACTTTCTGCCTTTTATTTGCAGTTCCTGAACTTTATGATTGTACTTAACCAAGTTTTGTTACGTTTTAAATGTGCTATCAGCTAACAGTACGGTACGTACACACGTAATTGCCACTTTTACTTTCATTCGCATTGACGCGTACGTGTCTACATGCGTGCGTATGTTTCAATGGTAATGGCGCATACGGCTTTTGTTCATACTCACGCACGACTGTTTTGTTACGCAACCACGTACCAGTGCCCTACCTTTTACGATGCACGAGTCAAAAATCGACATGGAATTTCTACCACGCGAAATTCCAATGATCGATAATTAATTTTGTAAATCAATAAAAAAAAAGGTTCATCTCTATCAAATGTGTGTATATCAATATGAAAAATTAATATTTTCAATATTTTATATGAATTAAAAATTTTTTATAGAATCCGTAAAAAGTTACGCAAGCATCTCAGTGCAAGATACAAATTTTTGAATCTAGCCGTGACGATGCGTCTGCGAAAATTTGCATCAGGAAGCTAGCATAGGTTTTACGATCAAAAATCATTTGTGACATAAAATCAGTGAACAAAAACAAGTTTTTTTTTAAATTCAAAAACCGCCAAAAATCATTGCAGTCGTTATGCAATAATTGATATTTATCTTTATTTTTCACTCCGAGCATTTTCCTTCAAGGCGTACTCGTACGAAACGATCCCAACGACCGCTTGGCAACTTTCGTCATGGATATTCAACTTGCTACGTAGCAATCGAATTTTTAAGCCCTGTGTTCATTACACCGTCCGCCATTGTTTCCTTCTCAAATCGTCATTGTTATGTCCCTTGAACGACACTATTATCACGAACGAATAGTAACAATGACTATCTGTATAGAATTCACAGGGAGTCGCGCTCGAATTATCGGAAAATTGACCAACTCATTTTTTTAAATCAGAACACACAAAATTTCCGCCATGTATAAAAATCCCAGACCCTTTCACACTTTACAATTTTACATAACTCACCATAAGACACGTAACAACCATATCGACCGGCGGACAAAAGAAAAGAAATGCTTATATTCAAATGACTTATTAGTACCGAGTTGGCCGTAAGAGTGAAAGCGTCGCCTCGGTCGTCCGCACGAGTTATGGCGTAGTACTAAGTCAGATCACGTTTTCCCTCCTGAATTCATATAGTGACGATCGATCGTGTTTAGAATGAGGCCTGCTGTCCAGTGTACCAAGGTTAACAAATCAATTCCGATCATTTCCCAAAGGATCGATACTCTGAGATACATAACTTAACCTATAACGGATAATCCAGCTTACACGATACGGATGACAGATAGCATAGACAAAATATTTTCGTATCGGCAGTGTGTAACGACTGTGTCTCTCGATGCCCGTGCACGGAATAAAAACTGGTTTAAAGCATTCGGAGAGACAACATAACCAAGAAACTGAAATCAGATGTTATTTTAAGTACACACATCGGCCCAAGGTAACCTGGCTAAACGAGAGTGCAATAGAGAAGGATCAACCGGAATGATTTTTCCTGTCTGGTACTCTACGGTACTTCGGTGCTTTCGAGTGTACTCGACTTCTCAGTGAGGTTAGGAGCTTCGGAGATACTAAAGGGAAAGATATTCTTGGCAGCGTCGCGATGCAACAACTGTCCCCATCCGTCATCTAAGTAACGTCGAGATGCCCATGGCCAGTCTGTCCCTTTTACGCATCTCCTTTCACGTAAGTGTTACTCAAGATTTGACAGTTATTTAAAAAAAAAAATTGTTTCATTATCACAAACCCCAATTTTCACGTTCAAATATTTCTATCGTTATCGTAATTTTATGCAGTATACGTTTAATTAAACGTATGCATTTCCATTATAATTTCCACGTAAAGAACAGGTATATTTTTTGTACGTGTAATTATTGAATCAAAAATGCCTGATAAAAATGTCTGATCAAATGATAGTTGAATGGCGTCAATACCGTAACTGTTGTTATTATTATTAAAAGTTTTATTATTCATTCTATTCTTCCCAAGGTATTCGATCATCCGTAGTTGATGTCTCTACGTAGCCGACCGTCCAGGATGCTCAGCGGGTGTTATTGACGGTGCGTTGCGTCGCGACGCTCGCCCAGGATCCTAAAGCCAGTTGAGTGAGCAAAGGAAGAAGAGGAGCGCCGATGATCAGTCATCGTGACGCATACTTACCCATACGTTCTCGCACTCCGTACCTTCCACTCTTTTTCACTCCCTGCACCAGGTTGGTCTTTCGGTCCGACGAAAAAGCCGCCTTTAGTATAACATACAGGGTAAAAGTATCTTTATACTGGTTACGCCGGCGTGTCCGTTTCTACGAATGAGATTCTGGACCCTTTTTACCAAAGCACCTGTTTTCATCCTGGATCTGTTTCAGCGTTCAGAATGTGTGATACGCTTAACGCGCATGCGCCTACGATATGGAAGTGTCCTGAGGCATTAAGGAAAAAACAAGGAAGCATCTTTATTTCGTCTTTAAACCTGTTCAACGTGATCGAATTACCGACCTTCGTCTGTCTCTTGTGGATAATTATTTTCACACCTTATTTATTCATCTCAACCTCAAGATACCATATTTGATTATCTATTTATCTGAGGAAACGTAATTTCTTCATTTCAACCTCAAAATACAATCTTTGATTATCTATTTATCTGGGGAAACGTAATTTCTTCATCACAACCTCAAGATACCCTATGAACTTTTGATCGTTGATGTTTCAGAATACAAGTACCATATTTGATTACTTATCTAGGGAAACGTAATACGGTACAAGAATGAGACGAATGGTCCACGAGAACTGACTTTTCATCTGGGCCACTGTATTTTTCAGATGCTGCTTCCGAATATTTCCCGTCGGTTCCAAACGAATCGTGGATCGACGTTCACGGGGAGACAAGGATAAAGAAGTATCTTCTTGATAAATCGGATGCTTGTCCAACATCTCTGACACGCCGACGCCTCTTGATCTCGCAGCAGGATGAACAACCCTTCTTGGCATTAAGGCAGACACCCTTTTTTTATCTCATAAGTCTTACACTGGCTTTGCCACCTGATTCTGAGTATAGGTTTGACTTGGTAGTCACCTGGCAGTATGGTCCCTTCTATGAAGTACAGATACACTAGGGATATACCAGCATACTAGTATTCCCTATATCTTTCTTCGTTTCGTACTAGTAATGTATGTATATTCAAATATATATCGACTATAGTCTATCCTGCATAAATGCATGAGTGCACAGGCGTATCAGGACTATCACGATTGCCATATATGAAAACAAGTACAGTGAGAGTCTATAGTTATGCATCGGCGCCACGGCGGTGAATTTCCACGACGGAGGTTAATCTATGATAGATACTAATTACTATACTGCTAATAATGAGTGCCGTTGCAGGAGGAGCAGCGTCAGTCTGGTACGCTATAAAAAGCGTGAAAAAAAAGGGAGAAAAACTTGAAATTAAAGAAAAAGTCGATTTCGCATTGGTATATCCATCATACTAATTCAGCATGGCGTGTACGTACCGTAGAAAGCTATAGGTGGATATCTATGTAAAAAATTGTGCGAATGGGCGGATACTAAGAGAACGACGGTAATCGTCGGCGATTAGAGTTCGTTGCTTGCCCGGTTGCTCGTAGAGAACTCGAGGTAGATCATGGCTGCTGGTATTTATCGCCGATCTGATTATTAGCGGGCATCTTGGATGGACGTCAAGATATGCGATATTGGCTTGGAAAGCTTGCCGTATACACTGATTGGTCTGTTTTTGCCCGGTTTGATCGTCTAAGATAAGTATACAAGGAGCGATCTAATACCGGTCATACATATTAATCTGCATATATGTAGATAATGATGAAAGATGACACGTGGAATTTATTTTTTTTCAGGAAATCATTAAGCAACCTCGATAACAAGTAGACTTGGTTAAATCCTCAAATAAAAATCATGGACCAGAGAACAGGATGTGTAAAGGTATAACGGAAATGTAAGTATATTTAGATGCAGTCAGAACCGGTACAATTGATCCAGCTGTACAAGTACGTATACAATATTCATGCGACTCCGTACTGAATTATTATATTAAGTATCCTGTTATTGTTTTAGGAAAAAGAAAGAAAAAAAATCTCATCCATACATACAAAGCCAGAAGAAATTCTAGAAGGTAGCATCGTGACTCCCGCGCAGCTGATCGGAAATCGTGCCGAAGGCCTCTGCAAACGAATCCTATGGTAGTTACATTAAAACGAGGCTTGAGCTCCCGAGCGTGGAAAGTAGTCGTGGCGGCGAGGAGAGCAGCCCGTGTAAAAAGGCTCTGCTCCTGCTGAGTTCATATGGAAGTGGTAGTGGCTGGCAATACTGCAAGGCATTGGATTTTCTTATGGCGATGGTGGTGGCAGTGGAGGAGTAGTTGCCCATGGTTATGCTGGGTAACTAGATGTTGGTGAAGGTGGATAAGGTAGACGAGGACGATCAAAGAGGATGAGGAAGGGCGTCGGCCAGCCTCGCGAAGCGCCACTCGGTCAAGCTCACTGCCATCGTCTACCAACTATAAGATAGTCTAACTGGCAGTGCCGGTCAGCCTTGCCTTACCTTGCTCTACGGACTTGCCTTTCATTCCTCGTGCCTTTAGTTGGCACTAGGATGCCTTTCGTGACTGGTGAAGCTGCTGCCATTCTCTTGCTGTGTGTATTTGTATATATTCTTGGTACGATCTCTTGTGCTATTTTAGCTAAGACTTCTGGAAGGTTTGCGTAGATAGAGGATTGTTTGATGGTTTTTTTTGTTTAATATTGATGTTAATTAATGATACTTTATGCTTCAGGTCTAATTAAAATCCTCGTTTATCAATGGCCTCTTTCTCACCTCCCTCTTCAGATAATTGGCGACTCTCTCTCTCTCTCTGGATCGATGGAAAAAGTTAGCTGGACGCTTAATACGGAGCTGCTCAAAGGCTGTAATTATAGGAAAGCTCTATGCTGCGTTTGAGCCACGTTGCGTTGCTGCGCCGTGAACGTGGAAGATTTTTTATTATTTAAGGATTGATGGGGACTGGGAAATGTCACTTTGTTCTATTGAACTCTCGATTGGCATTAGGCTTTGTGTAGAGCTTTTTTGGTGGTGGTTTTCTTTTATTCTTGTATGCTGCACTGACCTCCTGAACTGCATCTACTTGCGGCGGCTAGATACCGACGTGCGGGACGAAATAGAATAAAAGGGGAGTCTGTGTCAAGTGTCGAGGGGCTTTGGCAAAGACTCAGGGCCAAGTAGATCGAGAGAGAGTAAGGTAGAGATGAGGAGGAAGAATAAAAAATTGGAGAAAGAAGACAAAAAATGTATAAACGCCAAATGGCGCTATGCCAGGGGACTATCTTTACACGGGGAAACTAGTTATAGAGCGAACAGAGTACCACCGATTAATGGCCAGGCGTCTTGGATTAATTGATTGAGTAAAAATTCGGTGGCGTCGTTTTTTAATTTCATTGTTTTTACGAAAAGACGGTGCGCCGAAGATTTGGTGATAATTTTATTTGATTTTTCATACGACTTTATCTGGTTTCGCTTAATGTAATTTAAATTACGCGCCTTTTTTTTAAATTAACATTCCCTGGTTTATACGTTCTCGTTACCGATCGATGACTCGTGGCTTGGGCAGTCTCTTTGATTTTGACAAAATTATATTATTCATTTTATCCACTTGGAAATTGCCAATTAACAACTTCGGATCGAGTCTGTTTCATGTTAACTGGACGCCGTTTCTAAATCGTTATTACGCATCCGACAAAGTCGTCGGAGAGACGCGGCACGTTTTCGCCATCGCTAAATAGGTATACACTGATTATTTACAGCCACTCCTGATTTCCTCGGGCGTTATTAATGCGTTCCCATAAGTAAGAGGATGATAACTTCCTGCCGGTGACTTTCACGAGAGCTACCGGACGCGAGGTTAGTCGGATTCGTAAAAACTCGTCCTACGGACTTCTCTCATTTTCGAAAGGGTAATCGGTTTCGGTTGTAATAGCCATTATAACGGAAATAATTTCCGTAGGAAATGACGTATTCGCCATTTTTATACTTTCGACATTGAAAGTTCTACCTGTAATAAATACACTGTCGACTCTGACTAGAGCAAAGAGACTTCGAATTTTTTGTTTTTAATGAAAATTACGAATGGCCAAGTTTGAATTTTCCCGCCTTTTTTTCAAACGTAACGGTTTTTCAATCCCAAGCTACACTTTTAACTGCCAGAGCCGCTAAATCCTCCAGAGATAAGTCTTGACTGATGCTTTTATCTCCCTTTCTACGTATCGTATGTTTCTTTCGGTTTTTTCTTTCATTCCTTTGTTCACCCAAAACCAAAGATTACCTCAATCTACATAGATAGCGCCAGTGGTCGTGTTTTAACGATCGACGCTCCACGATCTATGGCCGTAGTCGTCGGGTGAGAACGCACGTTAAACCATGCGAGAATTGTCGGATTCCAGTTGATCCGCGGACGAATTATTCTAGCGTGAAGATTCATCGATTTACGTTCTATCCTTGCTTTCGCTCTGGTCGCTCGTCTTTCCTTTTTTTAATCATTCGCGTTTCCTCAGCTAGACGTACTTTGTTACGTCGTGGACGTCGATTGTTTGATAATGATAAATAAAATGTACGTCATCAAATATTTTATTAATCCTTTTTCATTTTTTAAAAAATTAAACCTGTTCCAAAGGCAGTACGGTGTACAGGTGCATAGGTACGTATATATATATATATATGTCGATTTTATTTCACTGTATAAATTTGTACGATTTCGAGATCCGTCAGTCTGTAATTCCCATTTTGCGAAAAAAATAGCGTAATCTGGATAAAAAAAATTTCGATATTCTGAAAAACAATGACGCAGTGGCTGTTAGTGGGACAGGTAAACTTTTTCGGAGTGACTGTACTCAATGGTAAAATTTTTACGACTCCTGCGATAAGTTGTCTCCGAAAGATTTGTCGCGCGTCGCTCTTTTTACATTACGAGAAAAAACCACGGGTCGATCTATTTAAATTTTACATATACGATCAACCCGAGTTCGGCGACCCGGCAGAGAAATCGAATGCAAATTAATCACGATAACCATTCGCCAATTAAATGGCATCGTAAAATGAATTCCCGAGTGTAATTTACGAAATAGGTGAAAATCCGGCGAAGAGAGGAAAAAAACTTTTTTTTTTTTCGGAAAAAACTCAAAAATCGGATAACGCTGTAGGATCGAATCGGGCATTTCTTCATTGATAATAAATACAGATAACTTCTGCTGCAATCAACGCATCGCGAAATAAAAGCCTAAGTCACAGTTCGAATCTTGACCAAAAATCAAGTTCAAAAGTTAATTTTATGAAAAATTCGAAAGTAAAATTTTTTCTATATTCCGGTACGAATTTGCAAAAAAAAAATTTGTCAAGTCAAGCACAAACTCACTTTTCTTCCTATCACACCTCGTCAGACCGTACGTACCGTACCGTACCGGTACGTACTGGAGTGTTTGAACGATACCGGATGTGTTCATCGGCCGTTAATTAGTTATCTCAATCGCTGGCTCTGTTCCGTAAAACTGCTGTGTAAAATCAGCCAAAGCCAGAAGTTCAGCCCCGTATGGAATTAGCAAACAAATCGCTTAATTCTCGGGCGCCCTCCGTCGCGACTATGTAAATTTGATAACGCCAAGTTAGCGTGGGTGCACTTCATGAGAGACAGTGTTGTACATGCGCTGCCTACATTATGCATACGTATTGTGTACACCTGTTGCCCCAAATCATGGACGGGAATCCGTTCGCTACTCTCTCTGTCTTTCTTTCACTCCCCTTCTGCTCCTTATCGCTGCCCCACTCCGTCCCGCTTAAACGTCGTGCTCGACTACGTTGAGAAAAGGGGTGCAGGTGCGACAGAGAGAGAAGATACGGTAAGTAAAAGGGAAAAAGAGAAATTGAATGAAAAGAAAAAAAAAAGTTACGAGCTAAACTTAAGACGGATTCAATTTTTTGGAAGAAAACATTTCGAAATTTATTTTTTGACAATTATTAATTTTACAAATTTTTTTTTTATACTCTGAAACTAATTAAAATTTAATTTTCAATTCTTTCAGATGTCACGGTCCACTTCTGGGTTCTTGAAATGGATGCTGGACAGGTCGAAATCGTACATATTAGTTTGGTCATAATTTCAGTGAATTTTTTTTTCTATTCGCATATAGACGCTCACGGCTTGTTTGTATAACGGACTAAATAGGCGAATGGATTATTTATGTATTTTCTGTAGAAATATATATATATATATATTAAATGCATGTTTCTGGGTTCTCTCAATTAGCATAAGATCGAATTGCCCACGTGGCGCCAACGGTATTCCATTCTTTACAGGTGGAATTACTACATACTGATTGTATGCCGTATAGTCGATTCGAGCTAATTCG